CATGGTCCGTGCATTTATCAGGCACATCGTGCATTTATCAGGCACATGAGTTAAGCCACAGTTGTTCCGATAGCGGGCTGAATGACTTTCTCACATAAAAGAATCAAAACCTCTGTCAGATCCGAACCAACAACGTGTCGGGGCAGACGACCTTAGCAAACTCGCGTCGGCAATATGTACACTGACCTGATTTATCAAAACTATTTGATGTAGAGTAAAGAACAATGTTCACATTTGTAAAAGAAAGCCAAATAGTTATAAGACAATAGAAATGTATCATTTGGATATTTTTTTTATGAAACTGTGTCTAAAAAAGATGGAATATAATTAAGTGTTCTAAATGATTAAATATAAACATGAATTTGATGATTTTATTTAAGAACAATTTATTTCTCTAGTATTAACGCATGATTTATCACTGCATTGCAGAACGTCTTTTACGGACCAATTTACTATAACGCAATCAATTTGTGTTGAAAATGGAAATGACCTTTGATTTGATAAATGGTATATGTAAAAAAATAAAAAATAGATAAAATTAACAAATAAGATAGATAAATAAAGAAATTAAAGATGCAGCGTAAGAATGAAATCATATTTTAATGATATTTTTTTTACAATGCAAATAAAGTTTATTGACTTCACATGTTTATTGTAATCTACGTAGAGATCTCTAATAAAACGAAGACAAACTGCTATAGTTTGTATTTATGGCGTAATGACACAGTTAAGGATATATGGCACAGAAACAGGAAAGATGATTCTGCGAAAACAAATGTATTATAAATTGAAAACCTATAATATACTAATATATTGTTTACGATGGTTTTAAAACGTTTGCACTTTATTGTGCAATTTTGCTTTTGTAACACAAGTTTGAATGATTTAAAGGCACATTATGCCTCAGAAATAAATAAATTAGAATATGTAAGAAAACAGTTTCAGGTAATTGGCCAGAGAAATTTGTCGGAAACATGTATATTAAAGAAAGCCAAAAATCAAAATAAAAATAGAGAAAAAAAATGAAAGCATTTCTGGGGCATAATGGGTCTTTAAATTAAGACATCATGATAAATATGATCTATAAATTTGTGAAATTTCTGTGCACCGACACACACAAAAAATGCCTTTGTATGTTTTTTATATTTGCATTTGTAAACAATATAAAGTCTGTTTTTATAAAAGTAACGTTTGTTTCGGTGTTGTAACTTAAACAAGATAAAACTTGACCAAGTTAACAAAATTTACTTACTAATGTCAAAATGAAGTTAATTTTGCTGTTATACGTGCTTTCTGACTTCCATTTCCCTTTTGATAAAATTGCTTTTAAAGTTTGTAACGTATGTTTCTGTAACGTATATTGAAAGTGGGTTGGAAAATGACGAAAGAGCGTATCACCCGCTTTGTGGTTAATATATAAGGGTCTCACACATGTTAATTTTCCTTCTAGGTTGGAGTCTATCTTGAATGGATCAGCTCTTAAACAATAGTAAAGTATGTTTCTTTTAAAAATACTGTTGAAAAGATTTGAATAAAAAAATGTAAATTTCCGAAATCAGAATGATGTTTGTGAGGCTGCAAGCTTATTTTTGCTTATATTTATATGTATGCTGTATTATAAAGCCTGAATAGATTCAATTATGTAATTTCTGTTTTGCTTCTATTATTGTTTAATGTTTGTCATTATTTATATGCATTTAGCGACATTTGATCATCCATTATATCATTGAGGTTTTAAACAGTCAAATATAATTTTTACTAATAATCAAAGTGCATATATACGTAACAATGACTTATTACATATGCTTCGTTTATTATGAAACTTATTTTTCTGAAACACAATTTTAAATATGAAAATTCTAGGTGGCGACAGTAGGGTATGATACATTTTAGGCATTAATTGTACTTGTAAAAGAAAAATAACAGATAAAAATGTAAAACTGAGACAGTCCCTAATAGACAAAATGGTAGCCACCTTTCTACCGACATTTTGACCCCAAGACAAAACCGTATAAGAGCTACCCAGTGGCACATCAAATGCTGTGTTTTATTGAGAATGAGCGCAGAGTGTTAACAAGGTTTTTCCATATTTGGGCAGTACGTGTGACCTAGTTTTTGACCCCAGTACGTGACCCATACTCGAACTTGATTTAGAAATCATCACGATTGAGTCAAAAATGTGACCACTAGAGTGTTAACAAGGTTTTTCTACTTTTACCTCCCGTGGCCTAGTTTTTCATCTGAGATTACCCATGTTCGAACTCATCCAAGCTATTACCTAGACAAGCATCCTGACAAAATGGTGATTAAGGCAATAATGTGACCGCTAGAGTGTTAACGAACAAATGTGGGTGGACGACGGACATTCAATGACCCTTAAAGCTCACGTGAGTTAAAAAACAACAAATGTACATGTACATAGAAGTATAGTGCAAATGGGTATAGTGCTACAAGTTATTACATTAGAAACAGTCTAAACATTAATTAGTCATTAGAAACCCACACAGTCTGCCTTTAATAATACATATTTTCCGGAAAGTTTCCTGAGAATGGTTAGAAATTACTGATTTACAGGTGGAAGTGAAAAACAAACAGAAAAAAAAACAACAAAAAAACAAAAAACAAAACGAAACACACGCACAAATTAACACACGAACGCACGCACGTGCGCGCAATAATATAAAAATCTCGTATGGATTAACAATTTTCCTTCTTAACATTAAAATGACTACGGAATTAATAATTGACAAACTGAAAAATAATGAAAACAACCCTATCTTAAGAAAGAGATATGATATTACATAAAATTATTTGTGACATTTCAACATACGAAAAAACCCACAGTATAAAAAAGTAATATTTACTATTGTACGCAAGAAATTGCCCCTTTAATATATAATATCTATCCGTTAAATTTACAAATCTATCATGTAGCACAGAAGAAAGCAATATTCAGATTCAACGGTTCTTTGATATTGTACATAATTTACATAACCTATTTTTGCGACGGACGCGCCCTCAGGCGCGTTCAGAGCTAAGTCATCTACACATGGGATTTCGTTGGCTACACTCGCGCAATGTGTCCTAAACCAATTAACAGCCCAAGAAATAGTACAAGAATTTGATCCTTCAAAACTCCCATACTTTGTCTGGATATCTTAATGTCTTCCATATTTAGCCTTTTCAATTTCAAATTAAGTTATCCAAGTTAAAATATGAACGTATATTATTGATAAAAACGTTGTAGTCCCGTAGTATTATTGCGCAATATGCAAATTACTGCTGAAACGATTTACCGCTGTCGAAAAAGTAGGACAGCAAATTATACTACAATAAAGGTGTAACCTCTGAGTTCCAAGACATTATTAGTAGGAAATAAATATTTCTACATTATACAAAACATTATTATTAACAAATCAAAAGTTTTTCGTGACTCTAGGATAACTCGCGCATTAATAAAAGAAGAACTATTTTCGTGACTCATACCGCGGGTTTAGCTGAATATTCAGCAGTTATTAACATATTAGATACAGTTCAATGGCTAGTATAAATATCTATTTTTGAAAATGCATGTAAGACACTTTACCGCCATGTAGTCTTGAAATCATGGTAAGGAAGTTATAATATCAGTTCTACTTCCGATTCTTGAGGTTTGTTTACATATTTTACTAGGTCATGATATGAGTTAACCTTCGATATTCTAAAAATAGATTCTGCTTTACCTGTTCTGATTTTTGGACAGGCGATTAGGAAGTACACATTAAACATGTAATTAATAAACCAGCGGATTGTAATGCAATACTTTTAGAAATGCTATACAATTGTAAGAAGCAAACAAGTTGAAAATGGAATTTAGTGTGAAGTTGAAAAGGACAACTAAACACTGTAGTGCTTAAGTGACATTTAAATTAAAATAAAAACGATGTGCTCTGGCCTCTACATCTTTACCTTGTAAATAAAAAAATCTAAGAAATACACTATTAATTGCTGATGATTTTAACCAATTTTTTTTTAATGAGACATATCCAAGAGAAATAAAAATACAAATGACTTATATTTTATTGTCTGTATGCCCACTATGATATAACACGAAGCAATTCTAAATAGCATTCTCAAATGTACAATGTATTATGTTTGAAGTTTATTTGCCTGGATTTATTCTAGAAATATTTCGTTGATAGTTTTTTTTTCTATTTACATATCATTTCTTAGAATAAATCGATAAGGACACTGATTTACAAGTTTGACCAGAGTTTTTAGGCATAAATTTCATTCTGTATTTAAGTGCTTGAAAGTAGAAAATCTGAATTATATCAATTTGGGACACAAAATATATTGCTCTACAAATCTCGAACTTGTATGGAACAAATTTTCTCTGTTATATATTTTGTGTTTCGTTTTTATTTTGTTTTGTTTTTCTAAAAGAAGCCTTGGTGTCTCTCCGGTTGCATGTCCGTCGCATTCAGTGCTGCAGCACTTTGATTTTGCTGTGTCATTATGTCTTCCGGTCTCAGCAGTGAACCATAGTTTATAGTATTTCATACGATATGTATGATTTATATAATGCTATTTAAAACGGTTTGCACGACATTTTATTCACTCAAGTGTGCATCTCAACGTGCAATTTTATTTAAATAAGATCTTTTTTCGTTATTAATGATAATAATAATATCTTTATTTCCTCCAAAAGAAGAGCACATTTTTACAATTATACAATTATAATGGAACAAGTAAAATATTCAATTACAATGCAAATAATTACAGAAGATCTATGGTTACAGTATGGAAATCAGATATTTAAATATATACACACATTAATATAATGTAGTTATCTATTTTTTTACACGCATGTAAATAATAATGTGGTAAATAGTAAGAGGTCAAAATAAATATCATTATATAGTCTATCAATTGAGGAGTTTATCAATGAATTTTATAAAAGAGATATAAGATTGAATTCTTGTTTCGTTTATCACATTAAATGAAATAAAACCGCTGAACATATCAAGTAATTGATTGTCTGCGCTATATGTACAGAACTCCACACGTATCACATTCATAAAGTTACTCATTTGTGTGTGTTCTCGTATGTTTTTCTTTCTCCCTCGAAATTGCAATATTTGCATTATATGTAATTTTGTTAGTATGGATATTCATATGCTTATTTCGGCTATAATTACTCGTAAAAGAACGATAGCATATTACACATTCATACTTCTTAATTCTCACCAAGTGTGTGCAAAAATAAACGATGACATATTTCACATTTATGATTCTTCTCACCAGCATGTAATATCATGTGTTTTTTCAGATTAACGCTGTGAAAAAATAAACGATGACATATTTCACATTTATGATTATTCTCACCAGCATGTACTATCATGTGTTTTTTCAGATTAACGCTGTGAAAAAATAAACGATGACATATTTCACATTTATGATTCTTAAATTCTCACCAGCATGTACTATCATGTGTTTTTTTCAGATTAACGCTGTGAAAAAATGAACGACGACATATTTCACATTGATGATTCTTCTCTCCATTGTGTATTGTCATAATTATGTTGTTTAAGACTACCTCTTTGAGAAAATGAACGATGACATATTTCACATTTATAATTTTTATCACCAGTATGAATTGTCATATGCGTTTTAAGAGTACCTCTTTGAGAAAATGAACGATGACATGCTTCACATCTATGATTTATCTCGCCAGTGTCCATTGTCATATGCCTTTTAAGATCCTCACTTCGAGAAAATGAACTACGACATGCTTCACATTTATAATTCTTCTAGCCAGTGTGTATTGTCATATGTCTTTTAAGATACCCATTTCGAGAAAATGAACTACGACATGCTTCACATTTATAATTCTTCTAGCCAGTGTGTATTGTCATATGTCTTTTAAGATACCCATTTCGAGAAAATGAACTACGACATGCTTCACATTTATAATTCTTCTAGCCAGTGTGTATTGTCATATGTCTTTTAAGATCCTCACTTCGAGAAAATGAACTACGACATGCTTCACATTTATAATTCTTCTCACCAGTGTGTATTGTCATATGTCTTTTAAGATACCCATTTCGAGAAAATGAAGTACGACATGCTTCACATTTATAATTCTTCTCACCAGTGTGTATTGTCATATGTCTTTTAAGATTACTGCTCTGAGAAAATGAACGCTGGCATATTTTACATTCATAATTTTTATCACCAGTATGAATTTTCATATGTGTTTTAAGATTACTTCTTCGAGAAAATGAGCGATGACATATTTCACATTTATGATTTTTCTCGCCAGTGTGTATTGTCATATGCGTTTTAAGAGAACTGCTATGAGAAAATGAACTATGACATATTTCACATTTATGATTTTTCTCACCAGTGTGTATTGTCATATGTGTTTTAAGAGTTCCACTTTGTGAAAATGAACGGTGACAAAGTTCACATTCATAATTCTTCTCAACAGTATGTATTTGCATGTGCGTTTTAAGACTACTACTGTGCAAAGTGGAATATTCACACATTTCACATTTATAATTCTTCTCACCAGTGTGTATTTTCATACCAGTGTGTATTTTCATATGTTGTTTAAGATTACTGCTCTGAGAAAATGAACGCAGACATATTTTACATTCATAATTTTTATTACCAGTATGAATTGTCATATGTCTTTTAAGATTACTGCTATGAGTAAATGAACTATGACATATTTCACATTGATAATTCTTCTCACCATTGTGTATTGTCATATGTCTTTTAAGAGAACTGCTATGAGAAAATGAACGGTGACATATTTCACATTGATAATTTCTTTCACCAGTATGTACTCTTATGTGCGTTTTAAGATCACCTTTGTGCAAAGTGGAATATTCACACATTTCACATTCATAATTCTTTTCACCAGTGTATTTTTTCATGTGCTTTTTAAGATGACATTTGTGTACACATATTTCACATTCATGATTCATATCTTCAATGTGTATTGTTCTATTTGTTTTAGGATGACTACTTTGCGAATATGAACGGTGGCATATTGCATTTTCATGACTCTTTTTATCAGTGTGAATTGTCAAATGTATTTTAAGACTACTGCTATCCTCAAGTAAGCAGTCGCATATTTTGCATATAAAATTTTCCTCAGTAGTCGACATTGTTATATATACTTGAAGATTGAATCTACCAGGAAATTATTTAAAACACACCGACACACTGTATTGACAAGTGTATTTTGAGGTTACTAATTTTCTACAATGACTGATAAAATAATTTCTTTTTAACTTTGAGTTCGCGTTTTCCAATACAGGAACATTCACAAACAAAACTTTAACTCACTGGTTAGTAAAAATGATGTTTCAGTGCACTAAGAAAATTACGAAGGAAAATAAATGATCACAATTTTCAAAGCAATAGTTTTTTTTATGAGTGGTTTCACACATGCTTCTACAAATCACAACATATTTCTTCACACACACATATTTGTATCCGTACCTCTGCTCAACAGTGTTTTTGTTGTTGTTGTTGCTTTCTGCCAGTACCACTTGGTAATCACTGTTTAAAAAGGAAGAAAGGAACAAGCAACTGTTAGTAAACATTTGTAATAATATATTAACTTTGTGGAAATTCTGTTAATCCTTTCAATACCTTATACAAGAGCGATCAGTGATCACATGCGTCGCCTCGTGATGGCCAATTTCATGTTGGGACAAGTTTTGTGACAAATGGACAGACAGACGGACAGTACACAACTAGACTTGGTACTGATCATTCCTGTAAAGTTTGGATGAAATTGCACTAGTAGTTTATGAAAAGTAGTCAGGACAAGTTTTGTGACGGACGGACAGACAGACAGACAGACGACGGAGAAGTAATCCCTATATGATGTCACTACTCCGCAGAGGCGACACAAAAACTGCATTTAATAAATTTCATGAAAACAGAAATAGCGACATTTTATTATCAACTCGTAGATCTTATTTTGGTGTCAAGACAACCAAAGCATAAAAACCTGAAACCTCATTGTGGCTAAATCGGAAGAACAATTTATGTTTGCATGAGAAACTCCGTCTTCTGATCACCCATACATTAATGTTAAAACAACAAACATGGATATAGGAAGCAATCATAATTCAACTGGGTATAAATCTGCATTGTAACGGATGTTTTATAAAAATTTAATCTTTTTATGAGATGATTACTAATGCACTGTGAAGCTTAAACAGTTAGTGTGTTTGCACAAAAAATCTCATACATTTGTAATTGTTGTGTAATAATAAATAGTAACAATCCTTACCAAATGATGGAGGTAGGTCAAATAAAAAGTTATCTCTCTTTTATATCATTCATAATAAATATAAATATATGAGTTTATTTGACAGATTATATCATGTTCCAAATAAACTCATCATGATTCAAATACTGTACAAGTACTTTTTTCAATGAGAACTTTATTTCTGGTATTTCTGCGGTTCATAACAACACCGCAGATTTAAAAACAGCAGAAAATTAAGCCTTTCCCTATGTACATGTCGGAATGTTTCAACTATCGGTATTGTTTACTTACTTTACCCTATTTCCTTACGAATAACGGTATTGGGATTTTTGCGACGGACGCGCCCTCAGGCAAGCGTTCAGAGCTAAGTCATCTACACATGGGATTTCGTTGGCTACACTCGCGCAATGTGTCCTAAACCAATTAACAGCCCAAGAAATAGTACATGAATTTGATCCTTCAAAACTCCCATACTTTGTCTGGATATCTTAATGTCTTCCATATTTAGCCTTTTCAATTTCAAATTAAGTTATCTAAGTTAAAATATGAACGTATAATATTGATAAAAACGTTGTAGTCCCGTAGTATTATTGCGCAATATGCAAATTACTGCTGAAACGATTTACCGCTGTCGAAAAAGTAGGACAGCAAATTATACTACAATAAAGGTGTAACCTCTGAGTTCCAAGACATTATTAGTAGAAATAAATATTTCTACATTATACAAACATTATTATTAACAAATCAAAAGTTTTCCGTGACTCTAGGATAACTCGCGCATTAATAAAAGAAGAACTATTTTCGTGACTCATACCGCGGGTTTGGCAGCACACCACACTAAATGAAGCCGCAGCTTCGAATGGCCAGGGAGGATTTCATGGATATAGTGACTATTTGTGGATTTAAATGACTGGTTGTCTTTTAAAATGCATTTTCAGCATGAAATTTGTTTTTGTGACATGTAATATGATCATTGGCAAATTCGAAAACATGGTTAGAAATCACATGCTGATAATTATTGATGTCAAGGTCGCCATTGTTTGAAACATTGCTTTCAACAGCATGCTCGGTGAAAAAAGTAATATTACAGGGGGGTACAAACTTTCAGCAATAGCAAAAAATCTACAAGGCCAAGCACCTATTTCTTTGTGATATTTTGCATGCATAGGGAATTGCTAAAGCAGTGACAGAGTTCTTGTAGACCGTATATTTGCAGGTATTTTTGCCGGAGGGATGAAAAAATGTTGTTTTGGGTCTCGGACCACTATAGATTTTTGGCTTTTACGGAATGAATTTGAATTTTTTTAACTGCCTGACTGCTGCACATGGGATGATTTCATTACAGATTTGCAATGGTATGACATATATGTTCTTAACAAAATGTGTTTTCTTTTTCCAGGTTGTGTAGTTTGGGATCAGATTTATCAGACATATTGCTTGTAGGACATTGACGGCAGAAACTTGAAATTTAGTGTGGAGTGCTACCTTAGCTGAATATTCAGCAGTTATTAATATATTAGATACAGTACAATGGCAAGTATAAATATCTATTTTTGAAAATGCATATAAGACACTTTACCGCCATGTAGTCTTTCATGGTAAGCGAAGTTTATAATATCAGTTCTACTTCCGATTCTTGTGGTTTGTTTACATATTTTACTAGGTCATGATATGAGTTAACCTCTCTATTCTAAAAATAGATTTTGCTTCACCTGTTCTGATTTTTGGACAGTGGCGATTAGGAAGTACACATTAAACATGTAATTAATAAACCAGCGGATTGTAATGCAAATACTTTTAGAAATGCTATACAATTGTAAGAAGCAAACAAGTTGAAAATGGATTTAGTGTGAAGTTGAAAAGGACAACTAAACACTGTAGTGCTTAAGTGACATTTAAATTAAAATAAAAACGATGTGCTCTGGCCTCTACATCTTTACCTTGTAAATAAAAAAAAATCTAAGAAATACACTATTAATTGCTGATGATTTTAACCATTTTTTAATGAGACATATCCAAGAGAAATAAAAATACAAATGACTTATATTTTATTGTCTGTATGCCCACTATATACACGAAGCAATTCTAAATAGCATTCTCAAATGTATAATGTTTTATGTTTGAAGTTTATTTGCCTGGATTTATTCTAGAAATATTTCGTTGATAGTTTTTTTTTTTCTATTTACATATCATTTTCTTAGAATAAATCGATAAGGACACTGATTTACAAGTTTGACCAGAGTTTTTAGGCATAAATTTCATTCTGTATTTAAGTGCTTGAAAGTAGAAAATCTGAATTATATCAATTTGGGACACAAAATATATTGCTCTACAAATCTCGAACTTGTATGGAACAAATTTTCTCTGTTATATATTTTGTGTTTTGTTTTTGTTTTTTTTTTCTAAAAGAAGCCTTAATGTCTCTCCGGTTGCATGTCCATCGCATTCAGTGCTGCAGCACTTTGATTTCTTTATAAAATCTTTATTTATTATTTGTCATGAATAAAAGATTAGAAAATATCATTTTCTCTGCACATGCACTTTATACCGTTGTTTATACGACTGTTTTAATTTTCTCATTTTAAAATATATTAAAAGATATTCATTATCAAAACACTTGATGCATTGAAGTCAAATAAAAGTAAAAATATATTTAATCTAGCAAAGTGTATTA